CCCCTTGTATCTTTACCAGCCAACCCCTGGTATCTGTAACTACCAACCCCTTGTATATGTACCAGCCAACCCCTTGTATCTTTACCAGCCAACCCCTGGTATCTGTAACTACCAACCCCTTGTATCTGTACCAGCCAACCCCTGGTATCTGTAACTACCAACCCCTTGTATCTGTACCAGCCAACCCCTTGTATCTGTACCTGCCAACCCCTGGTATCTGTACCTGCCAACCCCTGGTATCTGTAACTACCAACCCCTTGTATCTGTACCAGCCAACCCCTTGTATCTGTACCAGCCAACCCCTTGTATCTTTACCAGCCAACCCCTGGTATCTGTAACTACCAACCCCTTGTATATGTACCAGCCAACCCCTTGTATCTTTACCAGCCAACCCCTGGTATCTGTAACTACCAACCCCTTGTATATGTACCAGCCAACCCCTTGTATCTTTACCAGCCAACCCCTGGTATCTGTAACTACCAACCCCTTGTATCTGTACCAGCCAACCCCTGGTATCTGTACCTGCCAACCCCTTGTATAGTACCAGCCAACCCCTTGTATCTGTACCTGCCAACCCCTTGTATCTGTACCTGCCAACCCCTTGTATCTGTACCTGCCAACCCCTTGTATCTGTACCTGCCAACCCCTTGTATCTGTACCTGCCAACCCCTTGTATCTGTACCTGCCAACCACTTGTATCTGTACCTGCCAACCCCTTGTATCTGTATCTCCCAACCTGTTGTATCTGTACCTGCCAACCACTTGTATATGTACCTGCCAACCATATGGTATCTATACCTGCCAACCCCTGCTATGTGTACTGACCACTTTATAAGCCCATGTACACAATCTATACATCATTGAACGAAAATATTATTCAACACGCCATCTGGTGCTGGCTATACAAAAATTCCTTTCTCTGTTACGCCTCAATACCTAATGACCTATTCAATCAATGCTCGTTTCCCTTCTATCACCCCATGAGTTTCATATAGCCGTGTTATACACTGTTATTGCCCTCAGAGTGACAGATTAACGGTACAATACCTAAAACCTTGTCAATGAATGTTAGATCATTTTCTGATAACCCATGATGAAAATGCGGCTTTCAACATTGTGGTCTGGACGTATAGTTGTCAGTGATTGGTGTGCTATGGTCAGTGATGAGTGTGGTGTGGTCAGTGATAAGCGTGATAGGATCAGTGATAATGTGGTTAGTGTTATCGTCAGTGATCAGTGTGTTGTGTTCCACGATAAATGTTACAACCAAATATAAGCTCATATCTTCGTGTGCATTGACGTTTTCAAGCCACTCAGTAACTATACAAATAATGAAATATTCTCTATAAATACAAGTAAGTAGACTTGCTATGTATAGACACCAACAGGAGACCCACGCTATGTGTTTACTAAACGAGGAACGTAGAAGAAATAGGGGTGCTAGTCAAAACAATCATGGTTTGGCTTTTATTTTATTTATTTTTTATTTAATTTTTTTTATACAATTATATATAAAGTTGATATTTAATTTTGATAATTGCAGTTTTTTTATTATTTGGCTATCGCTTGGTCTACTCAGTATAGTTTTACTTTCAAAAATATAATTAATTTACTTCAAGAATTATATCTTTTTTACTGTGTTGTACTCGATTTGTACTATTTCCGGAATAAATCGCCAAGTAAATGTTTGATTTGGTTTGTCGAATTTTTTTTTATCAACTGTTGGCTCTCCGCCAGGCTGATCTGGGAATGACTGAATACAGTGATTTTATATAATCTTTTTACATCTGATCTTAGAGACACTCTATGCTAACTTTTTATTCTAGAGACACTCTAAGCTTACATAGACACCCTTTTTTAACAGCTGATCTCAGAGATACTCTGCTTACAGTTGATCTCAGAGATACTCTGCTTACAGCTGATCCCAAAGACACTCTGGTTACAAATTATCTCAGAGTCACTCTGCTTACATCTGATAACAAGAAGTCTGTGGAAATGTGTAAAACACCATCTGTTTGTTGACGTTTAGTCCTGAGCCGGCCATACAAACAGGCGTTAGGCCCTGGATCAATATTTTGTCCCGACACTATTTTAGGGCACCAATTAAAACTAAGACACAAATAAATAACTTTTGGTACTCTCGGGGATTCCTACTCGAGACCCTGGGGCTTAGGTTGGGGGGGGGGGCGTTAATCAGTTGTGTTGGTACGGTGGTTAGGCCTGTTCTGATGTTGTTTTTCTACAATTGCTACAAGTTGTTTAAATGAGGTTTATTGTAGTGACGAAAATCTGTGGCTTTTTTTGTATGAATCGGCAGTTTGTAGTAGACTAGAAAAGTCGTGTCTTACTGATAATACTGATCCTCTCGAAATAATGTTACTGACCATCACGAAATACCGTTACTGACCCTCACGAGATAATGTTACTGACACCCCCCCCCCCCACGTGATTATAATGTCACACACCATTCGACGTCAACCAATAACTAAGACTGTCAGAATAGATTGAACAGTTAATGACGTGAGAATAGCGACACTACATACACACTCACCACAATGGCGATACTACATACACTGACACAGTCGCCACAGTGGCGACGCCACATACACACTCACCACAATGGCGATACTACATACACTGACACAGTGGCGATACCACATACACACTCACCACAATGGCGATACTACATACACTGACACAGTGGCGATACCACATACACACTCACCACAATGGCGATACTACATACACTGACACAGTGGCGACACCACATACACACTCACCACAATGGCGATACTACATACACTGACACAGTGGCGATACCACATACACACTCACCACAATGGCGATACTACATACACTGACACAGTGGCGATACCACATACACACTTGCCACAGTAGCGACACAGGCAGGCATTGAATTAAAAGCTCACGTGAAACGTTTTAAAAAGGTTACCCATGAACCTGCCGGAGAGGTCCGGGTTCTTAGAGTAAATGTTGGATCTCGTCGTTAGCTTAGGGGGGACTCATCAAACATACGTCACAGCCCCACCCCCCTCTACACCGCACTCACTGCTGTGTCCTGTTAGCTGAAGGGAGAATTTAAACATACGTCACTGATGTATTACGTCATTCACTCACCACACACACACACACATGCATAGACAGGGCATGGCGTGTTCGTGTGTGGACATGCACTAAATGTTGAGTACCCGCAACCCCATGTTTTTTTTTTTTCTGTAGCTGACTACAGTAGATTGCTACAATTGAACTTCACAGTTAATTGCTAGAATTAAACTTCACAGTTAATTGCTAGAATTAAACTTCACAGTTAATTGCTAGAATTGAACTCGTCTGTTGGATGCCAGACTTCAAGGGCTTTGTATTTCGCTGAGGAAATCGGGTACTTTCCACGTCCTTGTCTGTCAATCAGGCCAATGAGCCCGCTTATATGCCAGAGCTATTTATATCCGGCAAGTATAGCAGCTGTTTATATACGGCATATATAGCAGCTGTTTATATACGGCTGATACGGCATCTGTTTTTATATTGCAGAATTTAGACGCTTTTTATATACGGCAAATATGGCAGCTTTTTATATAAGGCTAATACGGCATCTTTTTATATATTCGGCAAATACGACAGCTGTTAATAAACGGCACATTTGATATGCAGCATCGTGATCGATGTACCATATTCGAGCCGCCTATATCCTACAAAAAACGTTTCATATTAGGCCACCAACTGCGTTATATTAATAGTAGGTTACGTACATTTTATGTGACGGCGTGGCCTAGCGGTAGAGAGCTAGACTGCTAACACGAGTCTCGTGTTCGAATCCGTGTTCTAATCAGTTGTACGCCCCCGAATCTCTGGTGACCCCAACTTACGTTAAGGAAACAAAGGCGGCTGGGCACAGTGCTGACCACACTATCCCCTCATATGCCGAGGTCAATGACCCAGATGAACTCGACACGAACTGGACTAAGAAGAAGAAGAAGACGTATATTTTAAAGACTTGACTTCAGCGCTCGCTAGACCATGATATGCTGTGACTTATTCAATCCTTAACTCTACCAGTACGCCATTCAGTGATGTTGTTTTACTTGTTTCACTTAATCTCTGTGGAAGTTTGTGTTGCATGAGTTAACGATGCCGTGATTCTGTGTAACAAACATGCTACCCGGCCTAATGCAAACACATCAGGCTTTTGACACGCTATAAATAATGTCGCGTGCGCCAAAGGATTTGACGCGATCGATGACAGTAAACAGTGATTGATTGAGCGGCGAAATATGAGCTTGATTGGTTTACCTGGAGGGGAGGTGTGGGGAGTGTGATTGGGAAGTCAGTTGTTTTACCTGTAGGGCAGTTTTGGGAATATGAGTGGAAAGTCAGTTGTTTTAACTGTTGGGCAGTTTTGGGAATATGAGTGGAAAGTCAGTTGTTTTAACTGTTTGGGCAGATCTGGGAATATTAGTGGAAAGTCAGTTGTTTTAACTGTTGGGCAGTTTTGGGAATATGAGTGGAAAGTCAGTTGTTTTAACTGTAAGGTAAGTAGGGGAACTTGAGTAGAAAGTCAGTTGTTTTATCTTTAGGGCGGGTATGGGAATGCGATTATTTATTATTAGTATATTTACCCCACACGCTATTAACAATAAACTACAAGATTAATACTTTTGTTGCCACCTTTAGCTAATGATAAATTATATTACTCTCGTGTAACTGATGATAAATTGCTAGCTTAACCCTCCTTTTGCCACTTTCAACTGATGATCTGATGGAAAAATGTGAAGCCACCTATGGCTGCTGTATATTAACCCTTTTGTTGCCACTTTTAGCTAATGTAAAATTATTTTATTCCACGATTATTAATGATAAATGACTATATTAACCCTCTTGTTGCCACTTTCAGCTGATGATAAATGACTAGATTAACCCTCTTGTTGCCACTTTCAGCTGATGATAAATAACTTTATTAACCCTCTTGTTGCCACTTTCAGCTGATGATAAAATGTGAAGCCACCCTGGGCTGCTGTACAGGCAGCCTGTGATTCCTCAAGTTGAACCCTGTCAGAGATGGAGTGGCGCCCCACGGAGGGGTGCCAGCCCCTGGCACCATTTGATCACCAGGTGGCTGGTCAGTCGTCCATGCTCAGATATGATGCAACCACTGTGAGATTTTTTAAATTTATGTTGTAGTGTGGTATTTAATATGTATAACGCTAACACCACTAGGTAAGGTCATGATTTGATTATGGTTTTATGGCCCACAGATGTCCTTCTAGTTTACACTAATGTCCTTCTTGGTGACTCACAAATGTCCTGCTTGGTCGTCCGTCGTCGTGTCGTCCCCCCCTCCCCCCCCCCCCCCCCCCCGAAATGTTCTGCTAGTTTACACAACCCCACTGAACAGTGCACCCATGTACAATGATAAGCACTTCCTGAGCGTCAGATAAGGAAGGAGCCGTTAGATCTTCTCTAGTAAACTGTTTCACTGGGTCATTGACCACAGTAAGTCTATTGAAGCAGACATTTCCTTGATGTGATTACCCAACTGTCTAATGCGTCCTAGCCACAGAATTACCTGCATCATTTCCCCCACCTCTGTTCAACTGTCTCAGCCTCTTGGACAGTTTTATGTCTGCTGCTGGTAGAAGTATGGCTGCATCATATTGATTTGCCTTCATTTTTTAAACCTGGGTGTGTGTTTAGCTGCTTGATTTGTGAGGCTGTTAGCTAGTTGGGTTACATGGCCATTTGGGTCACTTTTGGCCAGTTGGGTCATTGTTGGCCAGTTGGGTCACATGGTCAGCTGGGTCAGTTGGTCAATTTAAAAAAAATAAATAATTTAAAACTCCTCCTGTAAACATTGTCAGTCCCACTATGTCTTGAGTTACCCCAAAATACAACCTCTCCCCAGGTCTGCAAGCCTCTGATAGCCAGAGAACATTTTGTCTACAAGACCTTGCCAATGGAGCTCAAAGCTTTTACACCTGAGTTTAGAGGTGAGACATTTGTTATTCAATTTTCCCTGTTGCTGTTGGGTTTTTTTTATTGTAGCTTTCATATCTTACTCTCACTATGTTGATGTTGATGCCACTATGTGTTGATATGTGTCTAGGTGAGATTGAGGTGAAGCTCTCTGAGAAAGATGGCTACATCCACCTGTACGGTGTGGCCATGGAGGTGACCCCCACAGACACCACGTGCCCGTGTTCTTCTGACCCTGAGCCCACAGAAAACACAAACAGCCACGTCAACCATAAGCCAAGTCTCTGCCACTCTGAGGAAGACAACAGGTAGGTCATGGTGCCAGTCTCACATTTGTAGGTCAACAGGTAGGTCATGGTGCCGGTCTCATATCTGTAGGTCAACAGGTAGGTCATGGTGCCAGCCTTACATTTGTAGGTCATGGTCATTTTTTCTTGCCTACTTGTGTATCATGCCATCTGATTTTGGCATGGATTTGGACCACATTTTTACTTGGGTAAACATGCCGAGATGATTTTTGTAGATTACACAAGTTTTAAAGCCTTGTTGATTTCACTGCCACACTGAAATACTTCATTGATCAAAATGACTGTAAGACAACTTTCTTGTCTTTGTACAGGTGTGTTAGGTCTTTGTACAGGTGTGTTGTGTCTTTGTACAGGTGTGTTGTGTCTTTGTAAAGGTGTGTTGTCTTTGTACAGGTGTGTCTTTGTACAGGTGTGATGTGTCTTTGTACAGGTGTGTTGTGTCTTTGTACAGACGTATTGTGTCTTTGTACAGGTGTTTTGTACAGGTGTGTTGTGTCTTTGTACAGGTGTGTTTTGTACATGTGTTGTCTTTGTACAGGTGTGTTTTGAACAGGTGTATTGTTTTTGTACAGACGCGTTGTGTCTTTGTACTGGTGTGTTGTATCTTTGTAATGGTGTGTTTTGTACAGGTCTGTTGTGTCTTTGTACAGGTGTGTTTTGTACAGGTGTGTTGTGTTTTTATACAGATGTGTTGTGCGTGTGCTGAGAAGTGGCAGCTATGAAGTATCATCAACCGCCAACCAGGAGCTGTTCTACACCCAGGGGTCCAACCCCCAGCACCCTGTCACACAGAACTTGAACCCCTGGAGCCTGAAAAACCACAAGAGGCTGTTGGACAAGATGCGCAAGTCAGAGCACAGCCACAATAAAATCAGTATCCTTTAAACATGGGAGGTAAGAACACAGCCACAATAAAATCAGTATCCTTTAACATGGGAGGTAAGAACCCAGTCACAATAAAATCAGTATCCTTTAAACATGGGAGGTAAGAACACAGCCACAATAAAATCAGTATTCTTTAAACATGGGAGGTAAGAACACAGCCACAATAAAATCAGTATCCTTTAACATGGGAGGTAAGAACACAGCCACAATAAAATTAGTATCCTTTAAACATGGGAGGTAAGAACACATCCACAATAAAATCAGTATTATTTACACATGGGAGGTAAGAACAGTCACAATAAAATCAGTATCCTTTAAACACGAGAGGTAAGAACACAGCCACAATAAAATCAGTATCCTTTAATTACTTTAAACATGGGAGGTAAACACTGTTGATATACAGTGTGCTTTCTACAGTCTTAAAACACAATGGAAGATTTAAATTCTCATCACAAAAGAATTAAGTAATGTCTTAACATACAGAAAAAAAGGTTGTTACATGTTTGTGACACTGTTGACACCTTGATGATATGGCTGTTACTCATTTTTGACACCTGGTTTTCACCTTTTTTTTACACCTGTTTGTGACAGTTGACACCAGGTTGTCAGCTGCTACTGTTTACTGTTTGTGTCAGGTTGTCACCTGTATCACCTGACAATTAATTTTTTCCTTAACCCCGCCCCAGTGTTTTTGTTGCTGAAAAATGTTGTAGCAGACTTCAGGCACCCTTGCATCCTTGACCTTAAAATTGGGTCACGTCTCCACGGCGATGATGCATCCAAAACAAAAGTGGAGAGCCAGACAAGAAAGTGTAGCCAGACAACATCAAGCACCCTGGGCTTGAGGCTCTGTGGCATGCAGGTAGGTCAAGGCTGCCTGTTGTATAAAGATGTAGCACTTTTTCTACAAGGTTCACAGTAGTTGCTGCAAAGACAATACAATTTTGTGTTTAATTGACAGGTTTACAACTTTGTGTTGATGTGACAAGTGTAGATATTTATTGGTTACTTAACAGGTGTACAATTTTATTGTTTAATTAACAGGTGTACAATTTTATTGTTTAATTAACAGGTGTACAATTTTATTGTTTAATTAACAGGTTTACAATTTTATTGTTTAATTGACAGGTGTAAAGTTAAATTGTTTAATTGACAGGTGTACAGTTAAATTGTTTAATTGACAGGTGTAAAGTTAAATTGTTTAAATGACAGGTGTACAATTAAATTGTTTAATTGACAGGTGTACAACTTTATTGTTTAATTGACAGGTGTACAATTAAATTGTTTAATTGACAGGTGTACAACTTTATTGTTTAATTGACACGTGTACAGTTCAATTGTTTAATTGACAGGTGTACAGTTCAATTGTTTAATTGACAGGTGTACAGTTAAATTGTTTAATTGACAGGTGTACAGTTAAATTGTTTAATTGACAGGTGTACAGTTAAATTGTTTAATTGACAGGTGTACAGTTAAATTGTTTAATTGACAGGTGTACAGTTAAATTGTTTAATTGACAGGTGTACAGTTAAATTGTTTAATTGACAGGTGTACAGTCAGTTAAATTGTTTAATTGACAGGTGTACAATTTGGTTAATTGACAGATGTACAGTTAAATTGTTAAATTGACAGGTGTACAGTTAAATTGTTTAATTGACAGGTGTACAGTCAGTTAAATTGTTTAATTGACAGGTGTACAATTTGGTTAATTGACAGATGTACAGTTAAATTGTTAAATTGACAGGTGTACAGTTAAATTGTTTAATTGACAGGTGTAAAGTTAAATTGTTTAATTGACAGGTGTACGACTTTATTTTTTAATTGACGTGTGTAAAATGTTATTGTTTATTTGACAGGTGTACAATGCTGTGACTGGGGTGTATCACAGCGTAGACAAGTACCACGGCAGGAACCTGAACGACCAATCTTTCAGTGACACCCTGTACAGCTTCCTCCACAACGGCCTCCACTTCCGCACTGAGCTCGTCCAGCCCATAGTCAGCAAGTTGTCCCAGCTCATCCTCTGCCTCAAAGGTCTGCATTCCTTCAGGTTTTATGCTAGTTCTCTGTTAATCATCTACGACGGTGAGGAATTTGTTGGTCGTGGACCTTCTAGTCCTGGTGTGACAGCAGAATCATCTTGCCAACCTATGCAGCGTGATTTATGTTCAGATCATGTTCACGATTCATCTGCACCTGATCTGGGCGTAGGGTCTGGGGTCATCTCGGTTCATGGAGCCAACCCTTCACAGCATTCACAAAGCATTTTAGTGGACCACAGTGCTCAAACAACAATGCCAGATGTACCACTAGTGTTGACCAGTGGTCATTTGTCAGATGCCAGCCCACTACATTCCACAGAGACAGCGCCTCAATGTAATGACCACTTAAATTTGGTCAGTAAAACTGACCCTTATTCTGATGACTATGTCAACAAAACTGCCCCACATACTAATGACCAGCTTAACAAAACTGACCCACACAGTAATGACCAGTTTAACAAAACTGACCCACATGGTAATGACCAGTTTAAAAATGACCCACATGGTAATGACCAGCTCAACAAATCTGACCCAAACTTTAACATTTACAACTGCTCAGACAAGATTGAACAGGAAAATACTTCCATCTTCAGTTCTTATATCATACAACAGCTTGTTTCAAAAGAACAGGACAAAGAAGGACTTAATCTACAGGACAAAGAAGGACTTCTACAACAGGTATTAGCCGATAGTGAGAAGTTGGCCAACTCATGTAAGACTGAAATCAATGAGACAATCCCTAACAAGCCAAAAACCAGTTGCCAAATACATGAAGAAAACTCTAGTGTGTTGACATCAGATCCAGCTCCCCTTTGTTCAGTACATGAGCCAGGTGACAGCAAATCTCCAGACCCAAGTACTGAGTGTAGTCAGGCTCTTGTCTCTGGTGGAACCAACTCTCTCCAGCCAGTCTCTGGTGGAACCAACTCTCTCCAGCCTGGTGGAACCAATGCTCTCCAGCTAGTCTCTGGTGGAACCAACTCTCTCCAGCTAGTCTCTGGTGGAACCAACTCTCTCCAGCCAGTCTCTGGTGGAACCAGCTCTCTCCAGCCAGTCTCTGGTGGAACCAACTCTCTCCAGCCAGTCTCTGGTGGAACCAACTCTCTCCAGCCAGTCTCTGGTGGAACCAACTCTCTCCAGCCAGTCTCTGGTGGAACCAACTCTCTCCAGCCAGTCTCTGGTGGAACCAACTCTCTCCAGCTAGTCTCTGGTGGAACCAACTCTCTCCAGCCAGTCTCTGGTGGAACCAACTCTCTCCAGCTAGTCTCTGGTGGAACCAACTCTCTCCAGCCTAATGGAACCAACTCTCTGCTGCCAAACTCTCTCCCGCCAGTCTCCGGTGGAACCAACTCTCTCCAGGCAGCCACCCCTGCTATTCACAGCCATTACCCAGGCTTGACAGAGAGAGTTGTTCCACACTTGGATGGTAAGCCAGTCTCTAGTGAGATGGAAGGAAGTGAGCGGCCATTGGGGATGAAAGCAAGCGCCAACCTGACCCAGGCGGCAGCAGGGCAAGATCTGAAGGTGGATGTAAAGATGATTGACTTTGCCCACACCACACATCAAGGCTTCATGTCTGACAAGGTGCGCCACTCTGGTCCTGACACAGACTACATCCAGGGGCTAGAGAACCTGGTCAAGTTGTTTCAGCAGTTGTTGCAGAGGGGCTGATATAGAATACATCCAGGGGCTAGAGAATCTGGTCAAGTTGTTTCAGCAGTTGTTACAGAGGTGCTGATATGGGAGGGGGGGGAGGGGCTGACATAGACTACGTTCAGGGGTTTGAAAACCTTGTTTTTTAGCAGTTGAAGAGGAAGAGCTGATGAGAGAGGGGGATAGGCCTACGTTGGAGGGATACATGGGAGAAAAGCTGACAAGTGTAAGCTAGTACATGGTAGAGGCTGACATTGGGGAGGGGGGGGGAGGGTAGCACAGAAGAGATGCTAGACCAGGAAAGGCTGACATTGGGTGGGAGGGGGAGGGTAGCACAGAAGAGAAGTTAGACCAGGAGAGGCTGACATCCAGACCAAAAAACCTGCTCAGACTGTTCCAGCACTTACAAGAAAGATGCATATTTAGAATCTCAGTTCCAACCATCATACAGGTTAAAAGTTACATACTATCCTTTTTTTTTTAAACTAACCAAACTACAGTAAGATTCTGTACATTTAGAGTTTTATGAAGACAAATTTATGTGCAGCTATAGAGGTGCATCATTCAATTAAGTCATGTTAAATTATTTGTTTTATAAATTGATCTGTCAATGTCATCCAAGATTTTTTATGCCAAAATGAGTTGTCTCCAGAGTTACTTCCCTGTGTTGAACAAGCACAGGGTTTGTGAAGAGACTTTGTGCTCAACTTCTGCCTTAGGTTGGTTCATTGCTTGCATTTACCTTATATGGTAATCAACAACTTACAAATGTTGTGCAATCTTTTTTTTCCCCACTTATCTTTAATTCCCTCCATTTCTGACTTTATCCCTAGGCAATATTTTAAATCATGTATGTTGTTTACATCTTTAAGACTCTTCACCATTTAAATTTCATCTTAAACAAGATTCATTAAGTGTATGTTGTTATTTTTAAATCAGTTATTGTAAATATGAAGACCACAACTCTCATGTTGTATAAAACGTAGTGCTTCACACCAAGAAACCAATGCTATCATCTGAAGTATAAAACTGAATGTTAAGTTCTTTCATCTTTTTTTTTTAAAGCTACATTATGAGAACAGTTTCAGTTATTCAACAGTTTAATTTTGCATGTATATCTCTTGATGTTAAATAACTTTTCTGAAGAAAAAACAACATATTTTAATGTGTCTTTTCACTGTTAATTTGTATTCAGAATTTATGACCAGGATATGTTGGTAGACATCTCAAATGAGAAATTCTGCATGTCATTGTATGTTTTAAACCATATTTGGTTAGGTTTTTTTTTTGTCTCAAGCTAAAACCATTTTGAAGAAACTGCATTGTGAGTTTTATTAGATGTATCTAATGCTTCCATCTCTAGATCATTCCTCTTGTGTTGTTGTTGTTTTTTTTTTGTAAAGATTTTTGAAATCCCAGCCAAAACAGAAATTTGGCCCTGTCTGTGACATAATTATCTCCCTTGATTGTAGAGTTTGGATGTGTTTTTTTTGTCAAAGTTTGAGATTGTCAGTACAGGTTAGTTTTAAACTGTTTTAATCATTGTAAATACTGCCAAAATTAGTTTGAAGTAATTTTTCAAATTTCCACATCAGCTTGGAAAATATTTTTGTGTTAAATAGGAAGATAAATGGGGAACTAAATGTGTCCTTATGAATAGAAAAAAAACTTTAAATCTTATTTTTATGATCATTTGATGTTAATTTCAGTAGGGTCATGGGAACTATCTACCTTTTCACTAAGGTAATTTACAATTTTATGGATCATTCTCCCACTTACATACTTCCTAGCTTACATTATGTAATTACAATTTCTTAACATGACTTAAAACCTGTCTCGTTACACATTGTCTTCACTCAGCTTAAAGTAGATGTGTGACGTATTTTCATGAGATTTGTTTTCATCAAGGCAGATGTTTGAGCTATTTTACTAGGCAAGTACATGAGATGTTATGTTACTGAAGGCCTTATCTAATCCATTCATTCCCATTACCACTGACTTTCAATAGACTTTCTGATGGTTGTGTCAGGAGAAGTGGTGTCAGTCTTCATTCATTGTTACAGGTTCATGCACTGAGGCTGGCTGTTTGTAGCCAGGTTTTTCATGGCTCACATTACAAAATGGCAGATTGCTGTACATTAAATCATGTTAATGAAGTTTTTCTAGCCTTAAAGATGTAACTTGCAGTCTGTTTTCTTGATGTATGTCTCTAACCATTAAACCATGAGTCATTGAGTGCTACATTTTAAACATCCAGGTACTTATGTATTTGTATACTTTGTCTTAAAATTTGCAAAACAATGTCAATGCTTTGTAAATATTAAAAATTGTCTTTTTAAGCAGTAATTTTTTAGCCAATTAGAAATTTTTACAGTATCTTCTAACCTGACTTCTAGTATGGACACTTGTCTCCATAACTTAATTTGGTGATAATTTAATGCTATGATTTATTTTGTTTGATGTACATAGAATTTATGTGTTAACGTTTTTGTAAATAAAAATAACCTTACATGTTATGAGTTGTTTGTGAATTGTCTAAGTGAACCAGGTATTTCTCTCATATCAGCTACAATAAGTACATGCATTCATTAAAATTTAAAATGGATAAATTATTTAAATAATTAATGCATTATTTATTGTGCATTTATTTTTAAAAATATAAGTTTATCAAATAAATGTATGCATAAAAAAATGTGTTAATTAAAGATGGGTAACTTAACAAAAATGTATATTAACTTAAATAAAAATTAACTAATTAAACAAAATACATGCATTGATTTAATTATAAAAATGTTTGCATTAAGTCAAGATATTTTTAACACCTAAATTGGCATTATGCTTTTTATCATGGAAAAATACCATCTATCAACAATTTTAATAGAATCTAGTTCATATAGATAGCATGGTGAAAAAAAAAGGTTAAAACATCAATGAAAAATAACAATACTAGAAATAGCATTCATTTTATTTGAAAATGAAACCTTTTTGAGAAGTAACAATTTGATAACTATTTCTTGAAACTTCTATTTTTGTATATGATGTAAAATATATTCTTTGACCTCCCTTTAACATTTAGGCTTTTACAATGTAAATGAACCTTTTAACTATTTGTAACCAGAATTCATTACTGAAAAATGTAAAATAAAATTACAAGAAAAGTTACAATATTTGTGTTTAAAAATTAAAATCAAGAGCCTATCATGTAGAAATTATGCCTGTATTTTGTTCAATCATGACTCAATCATCAATGAAACAATCATGTAATCAATCTGTCATTTCACAGTCAACCGAATAAAAGCATTTAGCCAGGATTGAAACTTGCATGTTTAGTGGTGATCCATAAATAATGTCACATAGCAATCCCAAAATAGGAGGTGGGGACTTCACACTTGTGACATAGACTACATGGGGGAGGAAGATAGCTTAAGAAATTTGACGTGCCATTTTTATAAAAATCTTTATTTTTGTAGAAATAGGGCTTGTAAGTGGTCACAAACTTCTAACTCTTGTACTTGAGTTAGTTTTTTTTTTACTAAATCATTGAAACAAATAGAAAAGTTACTTGTTCTATAAAAAATTTTAAAATCATAAATGATAGACAACAAGATGTAGGCTAGCTTGAAGAAAAATATAGCCTACCTTAAATTGTGATTTTTTAAAAGAAACGTACAGTGTATTATTAATTAGAATATGTAAACTGTAACATGTGATTTATATTTTTAATTCATTCAAGATTTCAAGAAATATTGTTTCATTCCTGAAGGTAGAGTTTACATATGACAAATATCATGACATCAGATAATGACAGCATATCCTGACAACTATACCAATGCAGATCTGTACATGCACAGTTTAAACCATTTGAACAGTGTCTATGAAATATGTAGCAAAATATGGAGAAGAAAACACTTTCAGGCATGAATGAGAACAAGTTAAAAACTAGAAATGTTTTGAGATGTTGGTCCACAAGTTCAGTCTTTACCAACACAGTTAAGTTTGATGGAACATTTATATTTTTATTAAATATTGATATTAATTAAACATTGATTAATTAAACAATTACATATCGTGGAATTGAACAGTGATAACAAAATGTCTGTAAGCAGCAGTGTGTTCTAAAGGCAAAGTAACATCAAATATAAATACATGTGTTATTTTGTTTGTGTGTTCTAAAGGCAAAGTAACATCAAATATAAAGACAAGTTTTTTTTGGCTAACAAAAACATTAACACAAAATATTCGGAGAAATATTTACTTTTAAACCAGAGAAAAAACTTCTTACAAAAAATAAGCTTTGATTAGTTTTTAAACTTATTTTAATTTGTTAATGTTTGTTTTTTTTCTTCATATAAGCTTTATAGTTGGGGTTTTTAATATTATGGGGGGGGGGGGGGGGGAGGAGGAGAAATGTCCTGTGGGGCTTCTGTTGGGGTTGGGGGTTTATGTCCTGGGGTCTAATGTTGATAGGGGATTATGTCCAGGTGTTTTGTTTGGACACCTCACAAAGTGCTTTATATTTATTTATAGAAATGTATACAAAAACATTTAAATTAACACACCTATTCATGAAGATGTGAAGTATTTACACAGTGAAAGAAAAAATTTGGTAATGAATGACAGGGATGTAACATTAAAGTAGAAACATGGTTGAAGTAATCACTCCATAGCATTTTACATTATAAAAATATCACTTTAACAAGTAACAAGTCTTAAGAGTAACAAGGAGCAGATGAGATCTTGCTAGGTCAAGGCTATCCAGATACTGCATTCCTTACATTTAAAGAATCTATCACATTCCATTAGCTGTATTTCAACAACTGCATTCCATTAGCTGTAGATTATCCAACAACTGCATTCCTTAGGGTGTAGCTTTAAGAATCTATAACAGTTCATTAGTTCAAGGCTATCCAGATATTGCCTTCCTTAGAGTTTAGCTTTAAGAACACATCACATTTCCTTAACTGAAGACTAACTGGATACTGTAGTTTAACTTTTAAGAACCGGTCACATTTAATTAGCTCAAGGCTATTCAATACTGCATTACCTAGAGTAACTTTAAGAATCTATCACATTCCATTAGATATGGGGTATCAGGCTACTGAAGCTTGGCTATAAGAATTTTTCACATTCAATTAGATGTATTATTAGACAACACTCCATCAGTTTTGCAGCAAGAATTCCCCCCACCCACAGGCAATGTTGTTCTAGGTCACCTCATCTTCTAGAGCATCCATCCCAAAGGGTTTGAAGCTTTTGATGACCGTCTCGTCCAGGTCACTGGCCCCTTGCATGACCAGGTACCGATGAGTCACCACTCTCCAATCCACCACGTCTTCGATGTTCTGCGCATGCACCTGCACTCCTGAGAAAAAACATGTTAAAAAGGTTATTGTATTGGATGGGTTACATTTTTTCAATGTGCACTTATAAGAATTACAGCAAAGTGATTTGATTTTCTATAGTTGCTTCTATACAGCTTTTAGTTTCAGTTTACTATAAATTCTATACAGATATTGGGCAAGCAGGTATAACTTAAAAAGGCTGGAAAACCTACTAAATTAAGCTACAAACCTACTCATTATACTAAGACCTATTCAAAATACCATAGCTTCGCCTGAACACTTGAAAACCTACTCAAGACACCAAAACCCAACCCACAACACCAAAACCCAACCACTGATGACAAAACTCAACCATAAACATGACAATCCAACCATAGACCCAAAAACCCAACCCAAGACACTAAAACCCAACCACTAATGACAAAACTCAACCATAAACATGACAACCCAACCATAGACCCAAAAACCTAAGACACTAAAACCCAACCCCAGAAAACAAAACCCAACCTGCAGGCTCCACTGTGCTCTTCCGCTTCCACAGCTTGTAGTTGGAGCCACCAAAATTATCCAAGGACCTGGAGTCTGACATGGTGTCGTGATCCTCTTCATTCATGAAATTTGAGGCTAGTGGGCTCCAGATTTTACCTAACATAAAAACACTCAAATTAAGAATAGCAGGCTCCAAATTTTATCAAATAAAAACATTAGTCGAATAATTTAAGACTATTGGGCTCCAGATTTAACCTAACAATCAAATAACAGTCAAATAATTTAAGGCTAGCATGCTTTAGATTATACCTAACAAAAAATCAGTCAAATCATTTTTTTTAATGCTGGAAGACTCCAAATCTAAGATAAACAATCAAGTAATTTGACAGTTATGAATTCTCTTAATAAAGTAGTCATTTAACTCATTGAAATATTAAATTAAACAAATAATTTTAAAAATCAGTGATGAATCTTTAGTTTAATTTATTTTTAAAAAAGTTGTTTTTTGTTCAATTACAAGGGGTCGGCGTGGTCGAGTCGGTAAAGCTCATGGTTGCTAAACCGAAAAGTCTCGAGTTCGAACCCTTGGGCAGATGAGGCTCGTTAGCTGGGGACAGCCACTCTTCTAGGAGAGACAACTCCAAAATCAAACAACTGCTGCCTTGTAGTTTGTTCTTGGTTGGGCAAAGGCTATGGAAGCAAATCCAAAAAGAAAAGCAGGCTGAAATCGGAGTCAATGGCCTCAATGGCGCATAACCAGTTGACACATATCCTTAATTGTGATGGAGGCGTGGTCGAGCTGGCAAAAAGCTCATGGTTGGTCGAGCCGGCAAAAAGCTCATGGGGTTGATAAATTTGAAAAAAGTCGAGTTCAAACCCTCTGGCAGATACGGCTCGATCCCTTCCAACACTAAAAATTAAGAACAAAGAAGAAGAAGTTCAATTAAAAATATGAAACAAAGGTGTGAGAAACAAATTTACATTTTAATTTCAAAGCCAGTTTCAAGTAGAAAAAAGGTTTTGTAAACAGGTTGAGAGGGGCAGGTGTGGCGGATGTCTTGTTCATGTTTCTGATGAGTTTAGCTCTGCCAAACTTCCATTCCACATCAGACTGTTGTTGGATGCGTTGATAAGTGTCTGACATCATGGCTATCAACAGGTTGATCAACACAATAAATGTGATCATCATGTACGTTCCAAATACCACCTTCAACAAAACTTTAAGAAGAAAAACAAAAGTCATATTTTCATATTATGTTAATTATGAAACTAATTTTTTTTTAATGTTTTCTGAAAAGGTAACTGTGTACAGTGTTTCCTTCAGGCATGTCTACCACCCCTCCCTCTACTGCACAAAATGAAAAATGTTAAATAAATAAACTTTAATTGTAAACCCCTTTTCCTCCCTCCCAGAAGTTTCAAGTCCCCCCTTTCCCCTTGAGAAAAATAAAAGTCTAAGAGAAACACTGACTATGAATTTTGGAAATGACAAATGATTTATCAATAACCAAATAAAGAAATAAAAGACTTTTAGTGCTAACCTGTAGTCCACATAGGGCTTCTATCCAAGGGAGGAAAGCTGGCTGGGTCTGTCAACCCAAACAGAGCAAAGAACAAGAACTCAAATGTATCTATGGGACTTAATGTGTTGGGCTGTACAAAATCCGTTCCAATCTGCAGAAGTAACAACACATTTTTGGTCACAGAATTATCTGCAATTAATATATTATTGAGGAACTAAAATTGTATTTTTTGTTTATATTTCTGGTGGAAGAGTGTTAGCATTCAGTTATATTTAATTTCTATTAAAATCTCTCCAGCACAGCCTATAAAAAATTGGTGCTTTTGATTTTTAAAAAATACTGAAATGACAGAAAATGGTATTAGGAAACATTTGGAATACTTAGTTAACTATGATGCAAATGAGTATTAATATTTTTGTGGGCCTAAAATATACAGTACAATTATTTCAATAGCAATGTTTAAAACAAAAATTTGTCATAACTTGAATTTCAAAGATCAACTTTAAGGAATCCATCATGGGGGTTGGGTGCAAGGGGGGGGGGGGGGGGGAATTTGTAAAACAAAAAAATACCCTGACATCTGCCATATATCATCCAACAAAAAAACCCACAGTAGGACCTGCCATAAAACATGGAACAAAAAACCCACAGTAGGACCTGCCATAGAACATGGAACAAAAACCCACAGTAGGACCTGCCATAAAACATGGAACAAAAAAACCCACAGTAGGACCTGCCATAGAACAAAAAACCAACGGTAGGACCTGCCATAGAACAAAAAACCCACCTCTGTGTCTGCGTATGGACTAAAGACAGGCTGGTACAGGGCTGTCAGGTGCAGGGTAAAGCCTATCATAAAGATGAGCAGTATAACCAGGAAGCGCACCAGGTCTTTAATCAGGTCTCTAATGATGATGGCCCAGGGGCCAAACAGATGGTGGAAGCTGAGGAACTCAAGTAGCTGGACGAAGGTCAAGAGCAGAGCCCAGGCCATGAACTGGTTTCTTATGTAGAGCATGACCATGCGGTCTTTGTCTTGGAATGCTGCTGCCAGTATGTGACAAAAAATTGCAATCTACGGAAACAAAGGAATTCAGAGAGTGTTTAGATTTTTTTCTGACAGCAAACAATGAGAAAAAAAAACAACAGCAAACTTTAGTAAAAAAATTTTCAAGAGAATGGTAAAATAATTATGTTATTATAATCAGAAATTTAAGAACAAATGTTTTTGTCTAATTTTAGAAATTATCAATTCAGTTAATAGGTGTTAATAAAAACGGGAAGAAAAAGTGTTCACATTCATGTAATTTTATTCAGAACTATCAATGTTTTAAAAATATTTTTCATAAATATGTAAAGTAATAAGACAGGTCACTGCTAAATTTGAAGTGATATTAGTTCAAACATTGCTATTAAAATAAGTCATAATTCAGAAATTTCAGCACATATACCCAGATTAACAATAAATAAGTTAACTCATACAGTATATGGTACAACATACAGCACATATACCTGATTGTCAAAGTTAGCTCATAATGCAGAACTTACAGCACATATGCCCAGATTGACAGTACGTATCCAGCCCAGACCTTGTCTATCTCCTGGGTTGGTGAGTTCTGAGACCAGCAGACCAGACAACCAGGCAAGCAGGATCCACTCGTACCAATGTGGGATCAGGGATGTGGATTGGTAGATGGGGACAAGGGGGGCTACTATGGTCAGGCTGAACAGGATCATCAGGTAAAAGTGGGACACCAAGTAGGTCATAAATTTTATTATAGGGACCTGGAGTAGAAATAAGATTAAGTGAATAATGAACTGTTCTACTGAATTCTAAAGTTATATTTCTGTTTTATCTGAGAAATAATAATCGTAATTGGAAACTTTATTACTAAATAATCCTAGTTTTAAATACTGTATTCTAAAGTTATATTTCTGTTTTACCTGAGAAATAATTAAATAAACGTAATTGGAAATTTTATTTCTATAATCCTAGTTTTTAACCTAATTTTTACTCAGTGTTTTTATAAGATTAAAATGCAAGTCTTCTGTTTTATTTTTTAATGAAAAATTTTTGACAGAATAAAACTTGTATTTCCTTAAAATGAAGAAAAAGTAATTAATTTAAAATACCCACAAATCATTAAAGAAGAAAGCAAGTTTCAAGTGACCTCTTACCTTGTTGAACCTATGCCTTGAGGGCAAGGAAAAGAGAATCCAGACAGGGGGGATAAGCAAAAAGGCAAAAAATAACATAACAATCTTCCAGTTGGCCCATCTGAGATCCCCCATCCAGACATCTGAGAGATATTTTTGTACTGCTGGGTGGGCAACAACCTGCAACAGGGGAGGGAACCTTGTTACAAATGGTGCACATTTAAAAATGCAACTGACTCAAGAATGAATATATCTACATTTAAAATTTTGAATAATACTACAGAACTATTATACAAGCTAAGAATTTTTAAAAGATTTTGCCAATATGTTTTAAAAATTTAAAAAGAAACTATTTTATTATTTATCCCTTATTTATTTTGTAGAAAAACCACCAAAAAAAAGAGAAAATCCTCCATTGCAACCCACCTCTTTCTGCTCCATGTCAATCAAGACATCAAGAAAAGGTGTGCCATGGTTGTCCAGAGCTTTCAGCAACTTTCTGGCACTGCTGACATTTGAAGCTATGGCTGTCAGCTCCACGGCCATAGCTTCACAGTAGGTGCTGGCTGATACTAAGTCACGTGACCTTTCTTTCTCTTTAATAGCCTGGTCCAAGAATTAATATTGGTTTATAAGGCTGTATCGCATATCCAACAATCACTTATTAAACTTCATTTGTCTTAATAATAAGTTCATTATACCAGTTACTTTATTTATTAAAAATTGATGTTTAAACTAAATAAAATATTTATTAAAAAAAAAACGATTTTTACAAAAATGAATTCTAGCTTTGTTGGGTAAAATGTTTTGGTCACCTGAAGCTGAAAATTCCTGGCCAACTTGGCTGCTGTGTCCACAGGTGCAGGGGAGAGAAGAATAAACTCTTCCAAACATTTGTTGTTGTTCATTCGCCCACAAACCATCAAGTCAAAAACAAACTTGAAAAGAAATTTAGAGCTTCATTGATAATTTTGTAAGATTTATAAATACTATAAACTAATGTTAGACACAGTAGGATGAATTTTATATGAATGTTATATCCATGCTTTACGCCCTACCTTTCTATCCATGCTTTATATCCTACCTTTCCATCAATGCTTTACATCCTACCTTTCTATCCTCCATGAGCAGCCTGGTGTTGTGATCCCGCTTCATCAAGTAACTGAGTACATCTATGTGATTAGCTGATGTGGCAAAGGTGATGGGCACTTTCCCATCCTTGGTCTCAATGTTGGGGGAGGCACCAGACTCCACCAGAAGCTTGACCACACTCAAGTACCCAGCACTGCTGGCAAAATGGAGAGCTGTGAAACCATTCTGGAAAAAAAAAAGTATTGAAAAAAAACTGTTTATTTTTTAAATAATCTCTTTTTTTTTTAAATTAATTTGTAATTTAAAATTAAAAAAAAACATTTTAAAAATGTAAACAAACAAAGAAAACATCTAGCCTACTGATTGCCATGTAGTTAATTCAAGATTGTAAAAACAAGGGTTAAGTTCGTATTTTTCTTCTTTAACAGTTTATTTACAAATCATGGGGGAATAAACAAACCAATTTTTTACTGAAACTTTTGGCATTAAAAAAATGGAAGGTTCGTTGGGCACATATGCTTGATTTATTTTTCAAAGACCACATTAGTGAAATAAAAATATAAAGTCACTGAACCTTATCTGATGTATTGATGTCAGCTCCCTGGCCAATCAAAAGAGCACACATTTCTAAATGACCATTGGCTGCTGCCCTCAACAAGGCAGTTCTCCCCCTTTTATCCTTGGTGTGGATCTGGTATGTTGATTTACTCAGTAGAAGACTGACAACAGACGTGTGACCATTGCCTGCTGCCAGGTGAAGTGGAATTGAACCCTGAGATAAATTATGAGAATTTTAAATGTCACCTAGAATATTTTATGGACTCTGAATATATAGTGGACAAATTTGTAAAAAAAACAATTCCCTATTTCAAATGGTAAATAGATATTGAGTCCGGAGCAGTTTCTAAATAGTTTCTGCTAAAAACATTTTATAAATAAGTACTCACATATTATTCTGCACATCTACATTTGATTAAATATTTCATTGCTTGTTTTTTTTTAAGTATTATATTTTAATAACCAATACTAAGAGGTAACTCAATCAGACAGCAAACCCATGGTTAAGTCAACAAAGTACTAACCATCACACACTGTTCAATCATATGGCCAACCAGTCAGACAGCCAACCTGTCAGACAACCAACCAGTCAGACAGCCAATCATATGGCCAACCAGTCAGACAGCCAACCAGTCAGACAGCCAACCAGTCAGACAGCCAACCAGTCAGACAACCAACCAGTTTGACAGACAACCATTCAGACAGCCAACCAGTCTGACAGACAACCAGTCAGACAGCCAACCAGTTTGACAGACAACCAGTCAAACAACCAACCAGTTTGACAGACAACAATTCAGACAGCCAACCAGTCAGACAGCCAACCAGTCAGACAACCAACCAGTTTGACAGACAACCATTCAGACAGCCAACCAGTCAGACAGACAACCAGTCAGACAGCCAACCAGTTTGACAGACAACCATTCAGACAGCCAACCAGTCAGACAGACAACCAGTCAGACAGCCAACCAGTTAGACAGACAACCAGTCAGACAGCCAACCAGTCAGACAGCCAACCAGTCAGACAGCCAACCAGTCAGATAGACAACCCATCGTACAAACCGTGACACTTGATGCCGAGTCTGTCTGGACACCTGGACAGTTTAACAGGATTCTGACCAGTCCCTCATGACCAGACTGGGCTGCAAAGTGTAGAGGTGTCAGGCCGGCCTAGAGTGACATTTGGAAATAATTTAGAGTAGGAATGTCATGCTAGAGTGACATTTGGAAATAATTTAGAGTAGGAATGTCATGCTAGAGTAACATTTGGAAATATTCTAAGTTAAGTGTCAAACCATTATTATATTTGTTTTACTTAGGCATATAAAAAGTAATACAATAATGTAACAATAATGTAAGCATCTAACATTTTTTTAGTATTTTAGCCCAGTTTCTGTTGAATAAAGACAACCATTTCTAAAGGCTTACTTCTGAAGACCACTGCATGCCATATGTACTTGACACAGGGGCCTCACACTTGACACAAGCTGACACATTGATCAACATTTCTCTGACAAAATCTGCTTTACCAAAGTGGGCTGCCACATGAAGGGCTGTTAGACCTGTCTGTTGGTAGAAATGAATGATGGTGGTGTAACTACGTTTTTTTTTTTAACTAAAACAAATGCCCAACTTTTAATAATGCATTATATAATTATGAAATTCTAATATTTAAAGCATTTATTTTCTTGTGTAAGAATTATAAAAAACAAATACTGACTTTTTTACTGGCTGTTCTTAAAGGAATGAAATTTTTTAACTCATTCATGACTTCAATATGCCCATGTTTAGCAGCTAAATGTAGAGCAGTCATTCCATCCTGTAAAGCCAAAATATATTTTCAATTATTGAGTAAAATTTTGAAAATAGTTATTTAGTAAGCTTATTAAAATACAATGATTAAAATATAATTATGAAAATACAATTATGAAAATACAATTATTAAAATACAATTATGAAAATACAATTATTAAAATACAATTATTAAAATATAATTATTACGAGCCGACCCACTGCGTATCATACGCCGCTATTTAGTTGTTTTTTTTTCTACTTTTCAGTAATTTATAATTTGTAAATTCGACAGTACCAATGCTGCCACTGAAAATATTTGCTTAAAAACACTAAACCTCCTCCTCCCCCCCCCCCCCCCCCCCCCCACACGTGAAAGCAGCCTCCTCTTAGTTACCTCCTCTAAGTTTAAAATCGTTTCAAACTAAATTATCTGCCCCTAATAGCCGTCACCAAACTCGTCTCTATGATTGTAAAATGTAAACAGCGTGAACCACAACTCATTAGACCATGTGAGGGGATGGGGGTGGTAGCGATAGAGAGGAAGAGAGGGGGCTGTAAGGCGCGCTTGCAGCTTGTTTTCTAACGGCTCCCAGAAGAGAATTATATATATAGATAATACAATTATGAAAATACATATATTAAAATACAATTATTAAAATGTAATTATTAGAATACAATTATGAAAATACAATTATTAAAATACAATTAGGCCTACTAAATTTCAACTATTAAATGACAAATATTTAATACACCTAATGAAGTACAATTCTAAAATTAATGTTTTATGGTTATTATCAATAGATATAATTTATTTTGATCGTTCAAAAGATGCAAATTAATTGTAGTAAATGTTAAAGAAAACTCTACTATCATCTACTTACAGCATTCTCATCTAATGCTGAGGCACCAGCCTCCAGTAAAATTTTGACAACCTGGGAATGTCCACCATCAGCAGCCAGATGCAGGGCAGTAGAGTCATTGGTCTAGTTAAAATACAAGAAAAAGGGCAGTAGAGTCATTGGTCTAGTTAAAATACATTAAACAGGGCAGTAGAGTCATTGGTCTAGTTAAAATACATTAAACAGGGCAGTATAGTTATTGGTCTAGTTAAAATACATTAAACAGGACAGGTGAATAATTTGTCAAGCTAAAATAAAGTAGGCAACATAAATTTAGGCCATAGAAGGCCTATATGGCTAAAAACTATAAATGAAGTTCAAATAATAACAGATTATGAATGAATGATAGAAATAATTTTACACTAAACATCACTCTTAAAAAAGGGAAAGTAAATCAGTTTAAAGTTGTTTTTTGTAAAAAGATGTGAACTTTTTACCTTGTTCCTTGCAGTAGTGATGATGATTTTATTAAACTTCATGAGTTCTTTGATGACATCTGCACTTCCTTTAGCTGCAGCAATGTGAGCACATGTCATTCCATTCTGAAGGAATGTATGATGGGTAATTTGTTACAACTCTGTCTGATGTTAGTTTTAATTATAAAATCATAGTTAAAATACAATAATGAAATTTAATGAAAATAATTATTTTAATCATTACTGTAACAGATTTCAGTGAAGATAGTTATAAAACAATAAAAGTAAAAACAAAATAGAAAACTTAATATTTTTGGTTAGTTATAGGATTATATTTTCTAGAGATTTAAGGTTATGAATTGTTGTGCTAAGAGTGTAGTCAATTTATAATTCAATTTATATTCCCCATCAGAGGGTAACATTTAACAACTTTTTGAAATCACCTGGGATTTACATAATATAATTTATGTAGTGAAAAGAAAGTTATTTGTTGAAGTAAAATGCTAACATGGTTTAAAAACTTCCTTCCGTAACTAATTGGGTAAACAGTAAACAAAAATCACTATCTGACTGTGCACAAATGAATAGATACTATAACATTTTTTGGTATAGTGCTATTTACTAAATAACTTAAAAATGTCTTCTTAACATGGTGGGTAAAATACAAAGGGTTGGTAGGAGGGATTAGGTAAGGGGTGAGTTTTTAACATATTTCTTGGTAAAACAACTTCAAATGGAATACATAATGCAATAACAAGGTAGACAATTATGAATAAGACATGACAGATTGGTGGTTATCTGACCTTGAGAGAAGCAATGATTATTTTGTTTCTATTGTGTGATATAGTGAGTAGTATTAATGTGATGTAGTAAGTGATTATCATAGAGTTCAAAGAGTTTTAAAGCTGAGACAAAATGGTATGCATTGTTTTGTTTATTTCTTTTTAAATTAAACTTGTTCAAAATAAAATATCTCATAAGTAATATCTGCCAGACAAGAATTTTGAAGTGTACAAATAAACAGAAAACTTTTACGATTAAAACTGGGTAAGAATGAACTAAACTAAACACTCTACAGTGGGATGGTGTGGTCTAGCGGTAGAGAGCTGGACTGCTAACCCATAAGTCTCAAGCTCGAATCCGCATTCAAGACAGTAGTCCGTCCTTGAGTCCACCCAACTCTGATGGGTACCTAACTCACGTTAGGGAAAGTAAAGGCGGCTGGGTATAGTGCTGACCACACTATCTCTTCATATGCCGAGGTTACAGAAACAAGTGAACTCTACTTCACTTGCCCCATAGACTGTCAGGTTTGAAAGGGAAACTTTACTTTACTTAAACACTCTACAGACAAATATCCAAGGTGGAATGTTGGTTAGATTTGATATTAACGGAAGGTAGACTTGGACCTAACTAACAAAGGAAAAATATTGATGGGACAAACAGTAGAGATAAACAACAGGTTTTTCAGTCTATTAAATAAACTCACCACATCCTGGAGATAAGAATTAAAGTTTGTTGTTAAAAAAAAGTTTCAAATAATTATTATTTTTAAATGTACAAAGTAGTTTCCCATCCAACAATTATTTTTTTAAGTTGTGATATTAAAAAACTAAGAAACATGTAATGAAAATTTAATATGAACATAGGCATATCAGTTTTATTATTAATAATGGTGTAGGTAAATTTTATAAATAAGTAGGCCTACTATACTTAGCAATATTTTTTTAAAATGTCATAAGAACATAATAATATGCAGAAGTAAAAAAATTTGTTTCTAAATTTTAGGCAAATTTATAGGGTTATAATTAACATTGAATTCAACACAAATTTCAATAATTTATAAATCAATAATGCAATGCAATTTACGTATTTTTAAAAAGAAATGATAACTTTATGTAATTGTCTAAATTATCTGATTGTTATTCATTAAAAAATACTGATATTCAAATTATCTTTTTAAAAAAGCTATTAACTCGGTTTTAAAACTACCCTTTGTCAGAAAATAAAACAAATAATTAGAGATTTATACTAACATAAAAGTTTTTATTATAACAAACCGTTTTTTGTCCATATTAGTTACAGTAATATTTTTTTTTAAAACTAACACTATCTACAAGTTTGTGTGAGATGAAAGAGTAAGCAGTAGAAAACAAACATACAGTGTTGGCCATGGTGACTAGTTCAGGTCTGTACTTGAGGAACAACTTGACAACATCTGAGTGATTGCTCTCACCAGCCAAGTGTAGGGGGCTCTGACCTTGCTGTGGATGTGAGAAAAGGTTTTTCAAATGGTAATCATTCTTTCATTCTTACTCTGAGAAAAATGTTTTAAATGTTTTTAATTTTTAAAAGGTTTCCTCCTTGCTATAACAAGAATGTATAGGGCCTACAAGTTTTATTTAATAAAAACTAATTTGTGGCTAAATATAGTGCTTTTTGTCATTGCTACAAAGATAAAAGTGTGTAATTTTATTTAACTTTATTAGCAGTACTTATGATTCCCTCTTGTCAAACTTCATAAATTTATAATCTCCTTAATATTTATCTTTTTAAAAATACATTGAGGTTTCAAAATTTACTGAAAATGAGTAGTTATTGTGTAAACACATATCAGAGAATGCTTTCAATGTATACAATTTCCACTGAAGATTTAAAATAAAAAATTACAGTTAGAGAAGAGTTTGACCCTGAATCAGATAACATATGAAAAAATATTTACCGCATCAATAGCATTGGTATCTGCTTTCATTTTTATAAGAGCACTACAAACTTCCTTTTTCCCATTCTGTGCTGCCATGTGCAGGGGGGTCTTCTTGGCCTGTTCAAATAATTATTCAAACCTTTCAACTAATTTATTAAAATAATGAATCAAAAGATTTAGATAAAAGCTAATATGAAATCATGTCAAAATATTCTTTAAGTGTCCTTTTAAAATGTCACTTACCAAAGTCAAGGCATCAATAGTTGCCCCATGTTTGTCAACAAGTAACTTGACTAGAGCAACATTTCCATTGGATGATGCCAAGTGTAGGGGTGTCAGGCCATGCTTGGATTTGGCATTAACAAATGCTTTGTGGTAGAGCAGCATATCTGCGACTTGTTCATGGCCATTTTCTGCTGCCAAATGAAGGGCTGTTTTGCCATGCTTCATTGAAAAATAAAAATGTAACATTTTACTTTTTTTTTTAAGTTATTAATTAAAATGCCTGACATCACTTGATAAATTCTTCCGAATGTAATAGTAACAGTATGACTTAATTTAAAATTTACCAATTAGTAAATGGTTACCTCATCAAAGATGTCGACCCTAGCTTGATTTTTTAACAGGATTTTTACAATATCAAGATGGCCTTGCTCACTCGCAACCAAAAGTGGTGACTGGCCATTCTAAAAATTAGAGTACAAATAAACTAACAAATTGTAAGTTAAAAACAAAAGAAAGTTTAAAAAGTTTTAAACTTTTCTCCCCAGTGCCAGTACCTAATTATAGTCTAACGATTGAAAAAATGCTAAATCTATAATTAGGCAACATGAAAAAACTTAATAAATTTTAAAATAATTTTGAAAATTAAAGGTCAAAACAAAAATACAAAAACATATTTCATAAAGACCTACCCTAGATTGTTTATTAACAATTGCTTGAATCTGTGGTCCCAGGTGTTTGACTATTTCCATTAAAATGTCTGCATTTCCAGCTCTAGCACAATAATGAAGACAACTTTCTTGAGTCTAATACACAGAAAATATATACATAATATTATTTTATATTCACATTTAATTCAGCTCTATTTACTTTACAATTTTAAATAATATGTATGGTTTAAATTAAGAGGTAATACTTAAAAAATTTTCTTTGCATTGTTGTGCTTGTTTCTCTTACCAGTTTTGTGGTGTAAGTGACATTAGCATTGTAACTGAGGATCAATTTGACAAGGTCAGTATCTTCGAATTCATTATGAACTTGACTTTTCTTGATTTCTGATGCACAGTGTATTGGGGCTTCCCCTTCCTGGTGGCACAAAACAAAACTTAAGAAATTTATCTAGCGTTTTATTGGCAATTAACATTAGAAAATAATTTTCATACATTTTTAATTGTAGGCTTTCTCATCATAAATTGGTTAATTTTATAGGTATGAGGATCAAAAAGTTCTTTTTTTTTTACATTAGGTTTAAAGTAAAGAAAAAGCTATGAATTAGCCTACTGGCTGAAAAAGGTACTTACATTATTCTGTTGGTTGGCAAGGGTGATGGCATCATGTAATGACCTTTTTAAACAAACAAATTCTTGAAGTTCCTTAACAATATCTAAATGACAATGTCGAGTTGCTATGTGCAGGGCTGTTTCACCAGCCTGTTCAAATAAAATGTAACGTTGGTTAAAGTTTTAATTTTTCTCACCTAAAATGTGATTGTGCATACAAAAATAAAAACAGATTTTTCAACGTTACTTTAAATTAAACTTTACCAGTTAACATAAAAGACGTACACCAGCAAAAATTGACACCAACAATTGACACAAATAACTTGTATACTATTATCCAAAAATGCTTTCAACTAACTTTTGACTGGGTCATTGGGTTTGCTCCCTCTCTCAATAACGAGCGGAGAACACTCAATCTGCCATACCTTGCTGACACATGGAGAGCTGTCTCACCATTCTGATTCAATTAAAAAACATTTTTTTTCAAACAGATCAATTTTTTTTTAAATAATGCACTGAATACATTAAAATAATAAAATTACAATAAATAATGTACTATGTAGTTATTTTGCAATCTTTTTTTCTATCAGATATTTAAACTAATTTTCAAACATATATACTCTATTCTAATATCAGGTGCAGCGTTATTTTTAAAGATTTTTAAATCTACTGTCAAATAAATTCCACAGACATTATAATAAGAAGAGTATTAATTAAAGGAATGTTATTTCATGAATGTGTGTAGAAAGTGAGTCTGTGTTGTTAGATATTCAAGCAAATGACATGTTTTTATAGATCAACATGTTAGTTTGTGTTGTGAAAGCAAAAGGAAAACCATGCAACCTCTCTTGTGGCATTGACATCTGCTCCACTTTTGAACAGCATCTCGGCACATTTCTCACCACCCTCTGTTCTGGCTGCTATGTGAAGGGGGGTTTCTAACAGCTGTCGATTATTTTAACAAATTATAACTAAAATTTTAACAGCTGTCAATTATTCAAATAATTTAATTAATTTTTTAACAGCTGTCAATTATTCAAATAAACTAATTAATTTATTTTCTAACAGCTGTTCATTATTTTAAATATTTATTGAAAAATTTTCTAACAGCTGTCGATTATTCTAACCAACACAATTTGTTTCTTTTTTTTAAAAGATAAATATAAGACTTTTAAAGCAACAGACGTGGAAAGAAAGATAATCAAGCATATTAGAAAATTCTCACTTCTCCCCCTTTAGTTTCCACATGTGCTCCACTACCAATCAAAGCTTGAACAACATTCGGCTTTCTGTACTTGACAGCAAGATGTAGAGCTGTTTGCCCATCCTACGTTATACAAAAATTTACAAATAAAATTGTCAAATTTACGACCACCGTAAAAAAAAAATTGATTGAACACCATATTTTTAAAAGGTATTTTTTTAAATCAATAAAACATTAAATAATCCATTCTAATTAGGTGTTTATTGAAAAACTCACCCTGGTTGTAGCATTAACTGTTGCACCTTTTGCTATAAGGGCCTTAACAACAGCTGAATGCCCCATCATTGCAGCAACGTGGAGGCATATGGCACCATCCTAAAAGTAAACAATTATTTTTTACAACTGGTACATACAATTTTCTATACTGAATTAAAACTGAAATTTATATACAAAAATATCTGTATGCCATATTTTAGATTAATTATTAAATATATTTCAATCATAAATTAATTTTTATATACAATAATAAAAAGAAATTGGATGACAATTAAAATATGAGTACTTTGTTTGGCATCAACAGCGGAACTCCTTTCTTTAGGAAAGCCAAGGCAGTTTCAGGGTGGCCAAACTTAGATGCTATGTGTATCAAAGTGCTGCCATCTTGTGTGCGGTCAGTTAATGTGGCCTTGCAGTGGGTGATGAGAAACTCCACTAGGTCAGTGTGACCTCTTTCTGCAGCTATATGCAGGGGCATTCGCTCTAACTGCAACATTCAAATCCAACACGCTTTAAATTATAAACATGTTTATTAAAGCCCGAGTATTTTAAATATTTGTTATTCTTAAATCAATCAAAGTTACAATCATTAAAACAAAGGGAGGGAATATGTTATTAAAGAATATAATGGCGTAGTACAACAAGAGTTCTGCAGCTTGGTTACCTTATCCTGAACATTGAAGCTAGCTCCAACAGAATATAGATACCTCAGGGCAACATCGTCACCTTCCCATGTAGACACATGAACAGCAGTCTGTCCATCTTTCTAGAAAATATAATAAAATAATAAATATAATTTTTCTTAGCCTAGATTAGAACAAACTTATATTAAGGAAAAAACGTTTATTATGTCTCACCTGGACTAAAACAGGATTAGATAAGATTTTTAAATGTAATCTAGATCTATTCTAAATCTAGATGTAACATGAGTAAGTGCAAAGCACTTTCTTTTTAATGAAACAAAATGGAAGGTGTGATTTGCCAAAATGATGATAATGCTTTATCTGTTGTGTCCACCACACTTTGTTTTATTTAGTCCTAATCAAAACAATGCAATTTTTTCTTGTAAAAACAGAAGTTATGAAATATTGTTAAATTAATTGGTATTTAATAAATACGCAATAGGTAAAATTAAAATATCTCTAGATCTATATGGCGCTCACATTTTTGGAATCTACAGCAATTCCAGAATCCACCAAAATCTTGATGGAATCCAAATCTTTTTTACGACATGCCAAATGTAGAGCTGTGTCTCCTGTGTCCTATAAACAAAAATAAACAGAAACTCAGTCCAATTTTGTTTCAGAAGAATCCATCTCAATCTATCTCTAGTTAATGATATTAAAAATTAACAAATTATAGGCCCTAATGATAATTAATATTAGACCTATCAATTATTAATTTATTATCAGCCTAGACTTCTGTCTGACTCTTTAAATTAAATATTTTAATATAGTTCTAGATCTAGTCTAGATCTAAATTAAATTTTTTAAAATAGGGCCTTCCCTAGGCCCCAAATTTAAAAATTTAATATTATAATTATAATCATTATAATAATTATTTTATAATGTTCATCAAGTTCGTTTTGAATGTAGTGTGTCGACTAGTTATTTTAGATCTAGAAATCTAGTTAGAATTTTAGTTAAACAAAAGACTTAAGTCAATAGGCCCATTGATTTTATAATCATTGATTTCAAATAGATCTATATCTTAAGGCGTATTTGACTTGAGTATTTCATAACATTTTTTGAGCTTACATTTCTCTTGCAGACTACTTGTTGACTTGCCAGGTGAGCTAACAACTCCTTGATTACGGGTACGTTGCCAGATTCAACGGCCATAAATAATGGGATGACGCCTTCCTTGTAGAGGAAAAAATCATCCATGGATATTAAACTAGTGAACTTAAAACAGGACAAATTTGAACTTATTTATCTGCCGGTATTGTAAGGCTAAATCTAGCCATAAAGAACTATTTTTAGCATGTGACAACTAAATTGAAATTATTTTTAATTCATATCGTCAATGATAGAAAACCTGGCCTAATTTTTTATTCAATAAAATTAAATTATATCTAATAATTTCTAGTTCCTAATTATTTTATTATTAAAATGCTCTATGCATGTAAGACAATGTATTAGGACTGTGTAGCGTCAACGTAATTTTTTTCTCCTTCTAAATTTATTACCATCAAGAAATGATGACAAATATGGTGTCCTACCGATTTGATTCTCATAAGTTCTCTCTTTGTTTTTTTTATGTGGATCTAGCCACTATCAAAAATAGTATCAAAAAGAATAAACAAAGTTGAAAGAAATTGTAATTGCTATACTTTGTCTTTCACCATCCTCGCTTCTTTCCCCATGGCTGACAGGAGAAGTTTTGTTGTCGACAGGGCGCCGGAGCTTCGTGCACAGGCCAGGTGGAGTGGGTACTGGTTGAGTGGCTGGTGGTGGATAGAATACAGTATTAGCGGTGGATAGTGTGTACTGGTGGAGTGGGTACTGGTGGAGCGGGTACTGGTTGAGTGACTGGTGGTGGATAGAATACAGAATTAACGGTGGATGGTGGATACTGGTGGAGTGGGTACTGGTGGAGTGGCTGGTGGTGGATAGAATACAGAATTAACGGTGGATAGTGGGTACTGGTGGAGTGGGTACTGGTGGTGGATAGAATACATAATTAACGGTGGATAGTGGGTACTGGTGGAGTGGCTGGTGGGGGATAGAATACAGTATTAACGGTGGATAGTGGGTACTGGTGGGAGATGGAATACAGTATTAACGGTGGATAGTGGGTACTGGTGGGAGATGGAATACAGTATTAACGGTGGATAGTTGGTACTGGTGGAGTGGGTACTGGCTGAGTGGCTAGTGGTGGATGGAATACAGTATTAACGGTGGATAGTGGGTACTCGTGGAGGGGGTACTGATGGAGTGGGTACTGGTGGACTATTAAAAGACAGTATTAAAGGTGAATAACTGGTATTGGTGTTGTGGGTTCTAATAGAGCTGGGGTTGGCAATACTCTTCAGCCAAAATCCCCCCCCCTGCCCGAATCAACTTCTCCCGTGGAAATTACTCACTCGGAAATACCCACAACACATGTTGCCGGCAAAAGCGAGAGACACATACCTCTATAAAATGCTTGAATGGGTCGACCAAGTGCGAAACAAATCTTATTTTTTACTTGGACTAGGTGTAGGCAGAATGCTAAATATGGTAAAAGAAGCCCTAACTCGAGCACTTATATTATTAAGTTATGAGACGGCGTGGCCTAGCAGTAGACCGCTAGACTGCTAACCCGAACGTCTCGAGTTCAAGACAGTGGAACCTCACTGAGTCCACCCAGCTCTAATCGGTACCTAACTCACGTTTGGAAAAGGAAAGGCGGCTGGGCATAGTGCTAACCACATTATCCCGTCATATGCTGAAGTCATGAAACATATTAACTCTACTTCATCTGTCCAATGGATCGTCAGGTGTCAAGAAAAATCTTTACTTACAACTATTTCGTGTAATTGGATTATGCTTAGGATTAATGTGTAATTGAAAATGGATTAATAATCATGTTCCTTTTTTTTTAGCTTGGGGGGGGGGGGGAGGGTAATAAAACTATGGGTAATGTTGGTATTGGAGCGAATGATAAAACAATCAAAACGTAATTGATGAGATTTAAATTAATTGCGTACTTCGCGGTGTAATTTGTTATATTAAAACGTAATTAACCTTATGATTTTTATCTTAGAAACTGCCCTATGTTAAATAAAGTTAAGATAGGCAGGACAATCTACAGATTAAATTATCGTAACTATGCTGTTCACAGATTATTGATTGCCCTTTTAATTAGTTCTGTCGATCGATGCTGATATCAGCTTTCTCGCATTTGTTCTTACTTAAAATTCAATATTAGCAATATTTGGCCATTAGAGGCTCAATAAAAAAAAATCTTAAACGATAAAAAAAAATGTTAGCGTTTTTAATCCAGCTTACTCAAGTAAATCAATTGGGGGAGGGGGGTGTATTTGTGAATGACAACACCCGTACATGTCACGCCCCTTCATACACCCGCCCCCCCCCCCCCACACACACACACACATCCTGGCATTTTACAGGTTCTATCACAACTTTGAAGAACCCCATTCTTCAAGCCACTATTTCAATGCTAGGGATCGTGTATTTATTTATAGGCCTATATAAACGATAATTTAACTCACCACCACAATGACATCAGTGTACATAAATATAACAAATTAATAAACCACAACCACATAAATCTAAATCATATAACAAAACTACAAACCACCACAACCACCTTTCCACAGGTCAATGAATAGAAAAAAGTTTGTTTGGAGCATTTTTACTTTAATTTATGTTATATTCAAGGTATATTTTTAACGAAAGGGATTACTTGTGACGAAGATCCGAATGGGGAGGGGGGTGGGTAGCAAATTGTGACTTTTCTTCTTACAACGGCAATTACTTTGAAACACTACGTTTCCTTTGTATGTTGTTGCTTTATCTGACTGCTGCTATTTGATGAATATGGGCTAGGTGGCCAAATTTTACCAAAATAGTGTGCGGTCACTAATAGACGACCCTTTATACAATATGAAAAATTACACTTTTCCTCCTTTATTTCTTTTTCATAGACAGAAAGACATCCTAAGTTTTCATTAACTTCAACCCCAGATTTCATTTTTACAGCCCCATTTTACATTAACTTACACCCCAAGGTCTCATAGGGTCAGCGTTAAGTTACACCCCAGATTACATTAACTTACACCCTCATGTTACATTAACTTACAGTACTTACACCTCCAGATTTCATTAAGTTACACCCATGTTACATTAACTTACACCCCCAGATTTCATTAACTTACACCCCCAGATTTCATTAACCTACATCCCCAGATTATATTAACTTACACTCCCAGATTATATTAACTTACACCCAAGATTCCATTAACTTACACCCCCAGGTCTCATTAAGTTACTCCCCCCAGATTTCATTAACTACACCCCCAGATTCCATTAACTTACACCCCCAGGTCTCATGGGGTCAGCATTCCTGGCCAGGAGGAGACGGACCGTATCGTCCCTCGAGAACTGTGCAGCGAAGTGGAGAGCCGTGCGTCCGTCCTAGGAATACAAAGGTTATTGTGTTAAGTCCCTGCACATCGTAGCCCACACATAAAACAACAACTCAAAGGCGATTGTGCTAGATCCATGATCATCATTCAGACAAAACAATAAACAGTTCCGTAACATTGTGTTAAATCTCTCCGCACAGTGTAAAGATAAAACAATAATCAAACACACGCTATTCTGTTGGGTCTATGTGAATGGTAGATAAAACAATAAACAAACACAAGCTTTTCTGCGGGGATCTATGCAAACATTACAGATAAAACAAACACGCACTGTTCTGTAGGGTCTATACACATCTAACAAATAAAACAATAAAAACACAAGATGCATTATATTAAGACTGCAATCCGTAAAGCCATTACAATGAACAAAAACTACATTCTGGACACGTTAATATTTAAAGGGTGTTTTGCTAAATGAGATTGGCTCACTGGGGTGGTTTCGTTGACGTCTGCGCCGTGTTCAATCAGGCTCTCACAGACGGTGACCCGGTTTTCTTGGACTGCCAGCATCAGAGGTGTTTGACCCGTCACCTGTAGGGGCAGTCACGTGACTGTGTTAAAACATTGTATCGTAATAAAAGCTTTTCTTGAATAAATTAATTTTAAAAAACTTAGCCAATATAAGCAGCCACACAGAGTCCAGTTGATTTTTTGAAAAAAGTTTAGATGAGGGTTTGGGGGTCGTGTTATTTTTTTTTAAACTCTACAACCAGTTTATGAAATAAGACTGTGCACCATGCCCAATCATTGCAAAGGGGGTCGTCCATAAACGATCTAACACTCCAAGGGGGTGGGAGGGGGGTCTGAATTTTGTGACGATGTGTAAGGAGGGGGACGGGAGTCACAAGGTATAACTGAAACACATGTATTTTGCAAAAGTAAAACTGAATTTTAGCCAATATTTCGCGTTTTTAAGAAGACTTTTTTTGTAAATTGTAATAGAAATTGATGAATAAACTTTATGTTGAACAAGCGTGGTGAATATTTTCGATAGAAATCAATGTTTTTAATACATAAAAACTGCAATTATGTTGGCTTTGAAATATTGGCTTTGAAATATTAGGTTTGAAATGTTGGCTTTGAAATATTGGGTTTTAAATGTTGGGTTTGAAATGTTGGGTTTGAAATGTTGGGTTTGAAATGTTGGGTTTGAAATGTTGGGTTTGAAGGATGGGTTTGAAATATAGGATTTGAAATATTGGATCAGGAATGTTAGGTATGCACGTTGGGTTTGGAATGTTGTGGATTTTATTTTTCGCCATATAAAGATTAGTGCATTATTTTTAAATTATTTACATAGTTTTTACCCGAAATTTAAAATTCACGGATGATTGTTTGCGTAGCAAAAACTACTACAGCCTTGGTCCCTTGAACCGTATTTTTCTAAACTGTTGACATTCTTATTTTTTCTCCAGTGGCGTATTGATTCCGGACTTCCCTCCCCTTTGAGGTTAAAATTTCTTCCACGCCAATCGATACGCCTCTATTAGTCTGCAAAGCTTTTCGCTTTTCTACTGCTGGGGGTTCGGGTTTTTTTTCCACCTGAGCTAACAAAATTACCATACCCGCCGTAATGGCCGGCCACTCTTACCGATACTAAATTAGGAGTGGTCGTTCTTGGTTGACTCGATCTTTGTACTGCGAGACAATAGGATTATCCTAACACGGCTTAAGTGGGTTTTAAGAGCGTATTCCGCAGTTTAATGGTATAATCGATGGTAAAAATCAATATAAGTGTTCTCACTAAAAAATGTTATTTCGATTATTGTATATCTTTTATGTTTTTAATTAACGCTAAGTCAACTTGCCCCTAATAATCTCCTCTACTTTATATTGAACAGTTGACAAACTTCATCGGGGTCATCTATTTAAGTCGTCCAGAAAAACGTTCAATGAAAGACCCCCCCCCCCCACCTTTCTTCCTCCACCCACCCCCACGTGTCCACTATGAATGATGAACGTGTTAATTGTTTGTTTTTTAAACAAACCCCCTCTTCATCAACCAAAAACTGCTGTAGGGTACAAAGCATGTATTTATTTTTTGAGGGAATAGAAGTTTTTACTGTATTTTCTGTAGTGGTTCACCGGACTAAAAAATAACATAAGTGGCAAGTCTATGGCGAGTTCATAGCCTTTGATACTGTTTTCATTTAGAAATTCATGCGAACAATGGACCTATTTACATAGTTACTTTCTAATTTGGGGTGGTCTAGTATGTGGGCTAAATTTCTTTGTGTTTGCTTTGAGATATGATTATTTTGTGGGTAAATGTAACGTGTGGACGTTCACATGGACTCGAATCCCACCCTCCCCCTTCCCGTCCATACATGTCAACTAAAGCTTTTTTAAAAAGTCTGACCCTTCCTCTTACCCTAAGTGTGGACGTCACAAATGGATAACACCACATCATATAGCTGTTTGTATTTTACTGTCTTGAGCACGAAAACAGAAAAACTCTACTTCACCTAAAACGTATATAGCTTGTTGACAAGATCAGCGTAATGTTCCACTAACCACGTTGTTCTCAAAAATGTGTTTACTGAGATATTTTCCACTAACCTCATCGTTCTCCATGATTTGTTTACTGAGAGATTTTCCGGACATAGTTTTTAACTTTTTCTCCACCGTAAGCCACTCCCCCTTTTTACACAGGCTGAGTAAGGAGATTTCCGACCCGTGATGGTTGGAGCCTTCTGAAGACGTGTCTGAAAATAAACTTTCATGAATGAGTTGTGGATGTACATGTAGGTGCTACGAGATATTTGATCACGTTTTTTTTTGTTTTTTTTTTAAGCCCGGCCAAAGAAAAAGTATTGGTTAATAAGGCTGTATCACACATCCTTCGTATGACTGCTAGCCCGAAGGATTCGAGTTCGGATCTCGGTTCGGACTCGTGACTTTAGGACGTCCCTGAGTCCACCCATCTCTGATGGGTACCTGGCTCACAGGCAGAGTTTCTTCCAGGCATCTCTTGGGGGGGGGGGGGGGGGGGGCGGAGCCCTCCCAAAGAAAGTCTACCGCTCCCCCCCCCCCCCCGAACGAGATGGAATTTATATAGTAAACATACTTTTACTAGTGTCCGCCCCCCCCCCGGAAAATGTTGACCGCCCCCCACCCCCCCCCCCCCCCCGAAAATATCAAGTCCCCCCCCCCCCCCCGGAGAAAAAAGTCTGGAAGAAACACTGCTCACAGGGTACACCCAGCTCTGATGGGTACATGACTCACATTAGGGAAACAAACAAGAAACATGTGAACTTTACTTCTTCTATCGCTGGGTCTAAAAAGGAATCTTTACTTTTTTTTTATACATGACAAAATGTGTACGATGTCTAAACTTTGGAACGGTGTGGTCGATTGGAAGAAAGTAGCTGTTTTTAACCCTAAATCAGATCCCAAATTCTAGCCAGTTCGCAAATTTCCGAAAGAAATTTTCTAAAGACATTATTACATGCACTATTTGGTAACATTTAATGAGAAGTGTTACAAAATATGTTTCAACATACGTATACATTTTCTTAATTCGGACTTAATTACAGAACAAAACCTGTATCTTACATTCGACTTTGGAACAAATATTAAACCTTTCATTAAACTTCGGAATATTTCCTGAACTCTAATTTTATTAGAACAATCCCTGAATGTTTTGTCAATTTTTCAACAACAATACAATCAACGTGTAGTAAATAGTACTTCGATGAACACCAGTTCAGAGACAATTTGGCCGGATAAAGGAAATACGACCGCATACCGAAAGGAAAGTCTTTAGTTCGGAAACAGGTGAACTCAAAATTTCACCTGTCCCATAGACCTTCAGGTTCGAAAAGTACATTTCTAAACACCAATGCTGCTTCTTCAAAAAAAAAGTGTTTATATAAAATACAAAATTAAAAAAAATTCACGTAAAACACATCCCATGTTAAACAGAAACTAAAAAAGACAATGAAGTTTATAAAGATCCCAATTAACTTTGGAACAACATACCTGATAGCGCAGAACTTTTGCTTCCGATGCCACTCGAAGACCCGCTTGTGATTCTTTGAATATCCGCCTTCCCGTTTCCGGTGGACTTTCCATCTTTCCGGACATGCACGTCCGAAACATCCGAATGGTTGTCCGATTGGTTCGTCTCCTCGATGGTGAACAGAGGCGTTTTAGTTCCGGACTCCGGAATACTTTCTTTCGTGGTCCGGACTTTGCCGCCATTGTCGGCTTTGTTTTCTGGTGCACTCATAGTGTCAGCGGCGAATTTTTGGCGAAATCAACATTTTTTTATCCGATAGCGACTTTTTCAACAAAAAGTTCCCTAAAGAATTAAGGTATGATTTTTTAAATATAATCCGATACGTATCCTGAAAGTTTTTAGATGTTAAGTCAGATTACGTGGATTAGGTTAGGTCAATCCAAAAACAGTTTAGCGCCAAGTTCCAGAGGCAGTAATCAGCCATTTTGTGAAACTCCATACCTAGGTTGGGGATAGATTTTGCTGGGTTTGGACGTTGGATGGGTAGTTTTCTGGATGATCTGTGGTAGAGAGAAGGAAAGACTTTAACGATAGGTTGATGGTGACTGTAGAGAGAATGTAAGACTTTAATGATAGGTTGATGGTGGCTGTAGAGAGAAGGTAAGACTTTAATGGTATCTTGATGGTAGCCATGAAGAGAAAGTAAGACTTTAATGATAAGTTGGCTGTAACTGTAGAGAGAAGGTAAGACTTTAATGATAGGTTGATGGTGGCTGTAGAGAGAAGGAAAGACTTTAACGATAGGTTGATGGTGACTGTAGAGAGAATGTAAGACTTTAATGGTATCTTGATGGTAGCCATGAAGAGAAAGTAAGACTTTAATGATAAGTTGGCTGTAACTGTAGAGAGAAGGTAAGACTTTAATGATAGTTTGATGTTGGCTATAGAGAGAAGGTAAGACTTTAATGATAGGTTGATGGTGGCTGTAGAGAGAAGGTAAGACTTTAATGATAGGTTGATGGTGGCTGTAGAGAGTAGGTAAGACTTTAATGATAGGTTGATGGTGGCTGTAGAGAGAAGGTAAGACTTTAATGGTATCTTGATGGTAGCCATGAAGAGAAAGTAAGACTTTAATGATAAGTTGGCTGTAACTGTAGAGAGAAGGTAAGACTTTAATGATAGGTTGATGGTGGCTGTAGAGAGAAGGTAAGACTTTAATGATAGGTTGATGGTGGCTGTAGAGAGAAGGTAAGACTTTAATGATAGGTTGATCTGTGGTAGAGAGAATGTAAGACTTTAATGATAAGTTGATGGTGGCTGTAAAGAGAATGTAATATTTTGGCATTTGTGATATAGATGCAGTTAGAGGTGAGACCAAAGAATTAGTCAAACAACGGGTTGAAAAGATGATTGGTGAAAAATAAATGTTTATTTACTAATGTATTACATTATTGGTGACTTTTGACAAAATGTGGAACGGCGTGGTCCGTTGGTAGAGCATGAGACTACTAACCCAATAGTATCGAGTTCGAATCGAATGTTAAATGCGGGGAAGGTCCTTGAGTCCACCCAGCTCTGATGGGTACCTGACACGTTAGGGAAAGTAAAGGCGGCTGGCCAGACCGCAATATCCCTCCATATGCCTTGATAACAGAAACAGGTGAACTCTATTTCACCTGCCCCATGGCCCGTAAGTTTCGAAAAGGTACTGTTTAGTGACTAGATCCATTCCTCAAAAAAGTTTTAAAAAGACTTCAATGTTAATCACAACAGTCTTGTTTATACGCACTAAAAAAGTTCAAAAAACTACATATGTCACGTGTTCAAACATGACACGTTTATCCACTGCCTAAAAATCTCATTTATTTCCAAATTCTAATTAGTGCTAAAAAAAACCTCTCATTCAAATCGATCGCTCTTGTTAACCAAGCGACAATCATCAAACAACTCGCCCAAGCGACCAATCCTTGATTGGGCTTTTCAGTTTCTCCTCACAATAAAGCGGCAATACTCTCGCACACAACGGCGTTGGTTACAGCTAACAGCTTGTACTCTCTACATCAAACAGCCTGTACTCTCTACATCATACAGCCTGTACGCTCTACAGCAAACAGCTCTTACGCCGTACAGTAAACAACTCTTATGCTGTACAGAAAACAGCATATACGTTATGCATCTATGCGCGTCAACCTCTTGTTGCTGTTAATGTGAAAACTTTTAAACTCCTCCCACAATAGAACAACGGCGGCTCTTGTTATGTAAATGATCCATTCACTTTAGCAGACGACAGGTTTTAACTTAGATAATCTCTACGCGACTGTAGCAGACGACATGTTTTAACTGAGATAATCTCTACATGGCTATAGCACACAACATATTTTAACTGAGATAATCTCTACACAGCTATAGCAGACGACATATTTTAACTGAGATTATCTCTACACAGCTATAGCAGACGACACATTTTAACTGCGATTATCTCTACACAGCTATAGCAGACGACACATTTTAATTGAGATTATCTCTACACAGCTATAGCAGACGACACATTTTAACTGAGATTATCTCTACACAGCTATAGCAGACGACACATTTTAACTGAGATTATCTCTACACAGCTATAGCAGACGACATATTTTAACTGAGATTATCTCAACACAGCTGTAGCAGACGACACATTTTAATTGAGATTATCTCTACACAGCTATAGCAGACGACACATTTTAACTGAGATTATCTCTACACAGCTATAGCAGACGACACATTTTAACTGAGATTATCTCTACACAGCTATAGCAGACGACATATTTTAACTGAGATTATCTCAACACAGCTGTAGCACACGACATATTTTAACTGAGATTATCTCTACACAGCTATAGCACACAACATATTTTAACCGAGATCATCTCTACAGAGCTATAGCAGACGACAGCTTATGGCTGAAATGCCCTCGTCACAGTTCTAAAGGCGACAAGTTCAAGCTGAGATACTCTCTACACTTGACTTAAATATTGTTGGCTTACGGTTATATACGGTGGACAACGAATGGTCACAGCCCTGAACGGACTACATAACAGCAGAAATAGGTAAAAGGTAGTAGCTTCAGTGAGGTTACAGTGGAAATAATAATAAAACGTGTAGTGTTAGTATCCTCGAAAAATGAAGAAAATTACAGGTACAGTGGGCGTTTCAACCAAAGGTTTCGTCAGCACACAACAGTGTGGTTAAAGACAAAACAAAAAGACAGAACGGAAACATAATTTTGGACTTTGATCGCGAGTAAAACAATGTCTTGTTTAACTGATTAAAGGCCTCGATATCTAAAGAGACACCTGTTTAGGGGTGTAGGTCAAAAGGCCGACATCCAAAAGGCCGACAAGACATAAGGCCGACATGGACAAAAGGCCGACAGCCAAAAGGCCGACAGGACATAAGGCCGACAAACCTTAAGGCTGAGAAACCATAAGACCGACAAGCAAAAAAGATACTAATATCGCAAAATATGTGTTACTGCATAGCTCATATCTTGACAACCATCGAAATAAGGCATGAAAAAAGTGAAACGTTCAAGAGAAGAGACGGTACTAGTTGCTATCCTTATAAGGTAAACCATAGGGTCAGGCGACTGGATATTACGGGT